ATACAAATACAGGCCATTTACCATTTAATAGTTGTCCTATGGACAGATCCCACCTGAGCTGTAGATCTCTGCAGCTCGTCCAAAATCACCGTGGGCCTCAAGTTCAAGGGGGCTGAATACTTCTGCATGTCTGCATGTGCGTCATTGTTTTATTGCAGTGAATGCAGACGTCCGGTGACTTCCACGGCGAGCAGACGTTCCCACGAGGACAAAGTGTCTTGTTGTTTTCCTGCAGCCTTGTGGCAACGTGCAGGTTTGTTCTTATTTTCATGTGAAACAGAAACACAAAGTTGAACATGCTTCACCTTGAAAGCCTTTGTAGCTTATTTTGATCTTCTCAGAACACAAAGATCCAGACAACCACCGGAGACATCATGACGTGTGTGTGTGCTTTGTACAGAGAAACCGCTGGAGCACCACTTCCTGCCATACAGGAAGCGGCGTTTGAAAAGGGCTGGGAAAAATCCCAGCACACGGACTCTTCACCCTCCTGCCCTCTGGGAGGCGCTACAGGAGCCTCCGGACTAAGACCACCACTGCAGCTGTCAGACTCCTGAACTCTCACACACATTAAACTCATGGACTGAACACAAAACAAACAAATGGCCGACTGCACCCTCACACACACATTAAACTCATGGACTGAAGACACACACACAATAATAACATGGACTGAACCACCAGCACTTATATAGCCTCTGTACTGTATCCACACATCTCACTGATCTCACCTGCACCACTGTAAATGCTGTACAGACGCTCATACTGTACAATACAATAATTATAGTTGTTACAAGTTTATTAATACGTCTACAATCTGTCTAGTTTTCATATTTTAACCATGTACCTGTTCGTAGCCTGCACATATGTTCATAACCTTGTACACTATAACACCTACATTAGATCCATATTCTGTAATATATCTGTATCTTTGCTGAAGCACTTCTGGATGGATGCAAACTGCATTTCGTTGCCTTGTACTGGTGACATGTGCAATGACAATAAAGTTGAATTCTATTCTATTCTATTCAAAGTTGTGCATGTAAAAGAAACAATAGTAAATGTGCTTGTGTGGCGTTCTTGCCTGTTAAAGGTAAATCATTTTCCATTAAAAGAACTCCGACTTTAATCTCAGAGTTGCCCACTTTGCTCTAACCCTGTTCTGTGATTCAGAATTTGTTGGTTTATTTTAAGCAGAAGGCTTGTAAAGAGAAGTTTCCCATCTTAGATCCTCTGACTGGAGAAAAATGAAAGCTCTTTGTTGACTACAGGAGGGAAGCTTGGCTCTTGCTGCAGAGATGCATGTAATCACAACCTGAGGATGGTAATGATGTCCGTGCCTGCCAGGACGAGTGTTTCCACAGACACACTGCTTCTACAGTGATGAGCACAGCATGTTACAGCAGCGATGATTTCAAACAGAGTAAGGAGGAAGTAGTTCATCTCCTTCAGTGATGAGCATTTCTTTGTCCACAGTTCTGCTGTTTTGATAAGAAAACTGCAGATTATTAGTAAAGCCTGGCGGCGTGTTGCTGGGCCCAGCACTGTGTGCTGCAGGAGCACAGCATGGTTTGTGCTTGCATCGAGGCGGGCCTGCAGGACTGCCTCTTTATGCCATGCCTTCTAGGGCCCTCTGCGGTTGCTGCGGTTACCACGTTTTTTTGGACTCTATAATTGAGTCTTGCGCTCTCACTCTGGATCCTGCAGCCCCGTACAAAGCAGCGATTATTCCTGAGAAGCAGAGGAGTTGGGGAAGCCTGGGGTTAAAAGGGGCTTTGAATGAAGGCCATTGGATTCTCATGAAGCTCACTGGCTGCACGCTCTTTGTCTTCAGCTCTCTGCAATGCCCCGAGCCTGACTGAGCGCTCAGAACAGACAACAGCTTGTCTCAGCACAATTAGAGGTCTAAATTTAACTAGAAGGACACAGGCTGAATGTTTTCAAACTGTCATTATTTCATTATTTATACTGCAGACAGACCAAGGAAAACATGAAAGCAATTACAACACTCGAGAAAATTACTTTAACAAGTCTCTGAAGACCCAGAGCGTTTAATGCGTGGCCATGCAGAGCAGCGAGCTGCACTCGGCTCCCACAGAGGTGGTTAACACTGTTGCATCCTCACTGCTGCACACGGCGGCTATTCTGATAAGTCTCAAATCAAACGCGCTTGACTCCTTGGTGGCTGCAGCTCAGGAGGTAGAGCAGCTCACCTACTGATCGCTTCTTTCTAATATCGTCTTCAGCTAGCAAAGCAAAGCACGTGACACAACTGTGAATGAACACAAAAAACTGAAGTAAACATAGCTAGAGGAGCACTTTTACTATCATTCAAACTACACTATCCGTCTGAGTTAAGCTGGATATGTGGGAGATATTACAGCACAAGAGAAGAAAGCCATAGAAGCTGATGCTTATTATATCACAGCCAATTAGACGCTGTCATTATCACGATGGGAGCACTAAGAGGGAAAAAGACTGTTTAAAGATCTAAACTTGATATTCTGCCATTTGTCAGTTACTAACTGAAGTGTGACACAATGGTAACACAACACAAAGTTAAAGGAATACAATTTAAAGTGTTCCTGCACATAGATGTGGCAGCCTTCTACAGATGTGGGTTCAGTCACACAGAAACATGTTTCCAGGCTTTCCTCGTGTCTCAGCTGAACACAGGGTTTCTTATATTAGCTGCCATGTTGACATTTTCATGCATCTTGGAATTTTCTGTGCTGAAATCTGACCTACTTGTCCTACTTGGCTGATTTCCTGGATTTTCCCTGGTGGAAACTTCTCTTACATGCACCATGAAGAGCCTTTACAGTCTTTTTATTGCACTATGGGAAGAATCGCACTTTTCACATCCATGTAAATGCATTTGAACGTTTTCACCCATTCATCTGTCTTCTTAAGCTTCTCCAGTTCAGGATGAGAGGCTGGTTTGAGCCAGAGTGTACACCCTGAACAGTCTGTTGCAGGGCGAGCACATCAAACACTCATTCACATCTACCACCAGTTTCATTAGTTAACTGAACCCCACGCCTGTGTCGCCTGCTCCACACAGAGGGACCGTGGCCTGGAGTCAAACCCAGGACCTTCTTGCTGTGCGACATGATGTTAATCATCATTTGAAAGTTTCCTTTGGAGTTACTCATGAGAAAAACTTGCACCCTGCAATTTTCTGCAGAGACAGCATCTCACCTAAGAAACATCAGCTTCAGTTTTATTACAACAACAGTCACCTGAGGGGGAGGCTCAAAGGTGATGGGACACTGTCACGGCCAGGTACGACCTGCTCTCTCAATATTTCAGATTAGCAGATAAAAGACGTCCGTCAACAAACAAAATTGGGCTAAAGCCGTGTGTTCATGTGGTCATTATGAGTAACAGGAGTCCAGCTAAGTTCCTACCAAGAGATTAAAAGTTTGAGCGTGTCTGGAAACAGTTTCATTCCACAGTTGGTCCTGAGTGGGTGCTTAGATGTCCTGTGCACAAATACAACCTCTGTACTAATATGGGGCCGAGCCGCTCCCAGTAGCACATTACACAACAGCGTGGTTGCTGCACTGACCAGTATATAAGGAGCTTCTGCAGATAATCATTGTTAGAATGTACAGGGTTTATTTTCACTTTCATGTTTGCTACATTGTTACATAAATGTAGACACGATATACTCCCCAGATAAAAAGTAGTAACAAAGTAACATTCCTGTACTGTATAACAGTATCTACTGCACACTACATCGATTAGCTACACACGTTTGAGTTCAGGGACGCCACATTATTCAACCTAGCACACGTGTCTCTGTACGGGGAGAGAAAGCTGCCTACATACGTAGGATGAAACCCGGACCTGAAGAGGAGGGTACTTTAGTCCTTGTTAGGAACAGCTGCTGCTAGAGAGCCGGTGCTACCAATCGGGGGGTTGTTGGTTTAATTCCTGGCTTCTCCCACGTAAATGCAACATGTTCTTGGGCAATTTACTGAAGCCCAAAGTGCTGATGACTGTATGTGCACGTGAGGTCGAAAGTACTTCAGCACAGAATAAAGCATCTGCATGAATGTGTGTGATTCAGGCTCTGAATACAAAATAGTGCTTTGATCATTAACCATGCACCGGTCCATTGTTGCCATCATACGGTTTAGTTACTCTGAACATCTCCTATTAGGATCTACAGATTACATTTGGGGTCACACACTCTTTGCCTGTTAGCACCGTACCTGTGTGGGGGAGTGGCTACAGTCTGTTCCCCAACTATGATGATGTCAGCCTCCAATCAGAGCGAGCGCTTCACCTCCTGCACACTCGGAGCATCTTTCCACAGACGTGACCTGATGGTCCAGGTTTAATATTAAAGATTTAAAACTTTATTTATAACATGTCGTTTTCATTGTGGAACAGAACAGCAGACTGCTTTACTTTGGGACACTCCACATGAATACAGTGAAACAAGAACAAAACAGAACAAAGGGAGGCTGGAAACTCGGACGCAACTCCGGTCTCGCCATTAGCATGAATCCTAAACGACGTACGTGCTCTTGGAGCCGGCGAATGGATCAGCAGCATTTAAGGAATGCAAAGAGCAGGATTCATCGGATTCATGGGCAGCAGCGTCTCTACATCAGTGTTCCATCATTTATTTTATAAAAGAGGCTCTTAGCTTAGAAAACAGCAGTCGTGATGCTACGCTACGTCTTACAAACTTTGGAGCTGAGATCAAAGTCTAGGTGAAGATGAAATACATGCAACGTTTCAGATAATAGAGGATAAAAAGACTAGCGAGGATAGCAAAAGGCTTGCTCTGCTGTAGCGATAAAACACATCTGCTAACAGGCGGCGAGCCGACTAGCAGTCGACGTTCTGGTCGCTGTAATGGTAGTCGTTGTGGTAGCCGGCGTGGTACTCGTCCTCGTGGAATTCAGCCTGATAGTCACTGTCGCTGATGTCAGAGCCATTGGTGCCGGTGCCTTGGCTGCCGTTAGTGTGGATGACCGGCTCGGTGGGGGGGGCGCAGTACTTGGGGTCATAAACCTGGCGGCCCAGCCCGTACACGCTCATTCCTTTCTGAGACGCCACCTTGTTGGTGCCCATCTGCAGAGAGATGGTGGTGTTGTCCAGCGGCTGCAAAGCCACTTTCTGATCAAAGATGTCTCTGCGAGTACCGGGCGCCGGCATGCCCGCCTACATGAAACATGGCAGACATCAGCACGACAAACATTCACACAGAGAGGACTCAAAACGATCAGTGAGGAACAACACAGAGCGTCACGGGTCACACGTTTCAAACTCATTTTATTATTAGACAAAGACGACTTTTTAAAATGACGGCTCATTAAGAGAAAGATTCATGTATGTAATTGACTTTTTCAGACTGTGTTTTGTCCTGATGCTAACCATGCTAACCTCTGACCCTAACCCCCTAACCCTTCTCAGTGCAGGATATTTTATTTAAGCTCTTTAGCAGGGACAAAGCTAAAGCTAACAAGAGTCCCATAATCACCTGACTTTTATTATGATCAAACTGGTCTGTGCTTGATGCCAGTGCTGATTTCTGATTCAATGCTCGACGCTCCTTTGAGACGTCAATGAGGGAGAGAGATCAAAGCAGCTCTTAAACCCACAGTGGCTGTTTCCTTCTTCAGGTGTTGACCCTCGCTAAACTCATTTATTGATGAATCTGAGCCACACAGCTGTCAGCAGCTGCGGTGCTGCTTTTTCTGTGTGGCACCGCCTGCTTCACCTCACTAAACACTCTGCACTCTCAGCAGAGCTCACACGTTTGCGTTCACAGCCTCGCTCCATACTGACTCATCATGTCAGAATGCCTCATTTACATGATTTTAGCTCTGTGTCACTCAGCATGGGAAACGTCGTATAGACACTCAAGTGTCTCAGATGTTGTCGAGACACTCTTGGAGTAATGTTGGGAGGTTGGCCACTCCTGGGAGGGCGCCGCTCCAGGTCTCCTCCATTTGTGGTTTGAACGAGGCCCACACGGCTTTGTTACCCAAATGCAGATGATTTCACTGAGCTTTTCTCGTGTTGCTTTTAGAGATGGACCGATCTGATATTACGTGTCGGTATCGGTCCGATACTGACCCAAATTACTGGATCGGATATCAGAGAGAAATAAAAAATGTAATCCGATCCATTAAATATCAAAAAAGCACCTCACAAAACTTGCTACACG